TGTCTTGCCACTGAGCAGCCAGAGGTGCTGTGGGAGTTAATGTCCTAACTAAATTGTGACACTAAAGCATCTAAACTTTGGTGGGTGCCTAAAATGGGGTGAGAGCTTTGAATTCAACTTAGTATTCTACAGCAGGACTGTGTACAGTGTGTTTGGAAGAGGCACAAAACAGTGTTGTGTATTACCTGCAATTCTGTAAGTAGTGACAGGTTACATCTCAGGTATACTGCAGCCTTATAAACCAAACAATACAACAACACACAAAGCAAACAAACAAGTAAAAGGAGTGAAAAACTAAGGACATAACACTTACCAGGATGGAATATCACAGCCAGTGTGAGCCAGCAGAAGGCTCTATTTGTGGATGTTGTTAGGATGAGAGCTTAGTGTCAGCAAAGAAATCAAAAAGCACTCTGAAATTGCAGATTAAATTGAACAATTGTTATTGCATACCTTCAATCAAAAAAAAAATTTCTCTGCAATTGCAAACTCATCCAAGTGATTTCTCACCTTCCACCAGTCATTCTCCATCCAGGAACTGGTCTGTTTTTCTCAGGTGATAGATTAGAGCTTGCACAAAGCACTCTTACCTGCTCAGCCCTCTTCACATCTTTCTCCCATTGCTCAAGACTAACACGCTTGTTTAGTGGAATTGCTTGCAAATAGTTCCTCTCCTCTTTACTTCCTTTACTGCCATACCCTGGGACCATATTCTGATGTTTTCCACAGATGGTGTATTAAAAAGCAGTAAAACAGCAGAGTTTCATAGAGGCTAAATGAATGCTCTGCAACAACCTTGCAGGATCAATTTTTATTTTAAACGTTTGAAGAATTTTGAACATAATTGAGCTTGTTAGTTAAAAAGAAAAAAAAAAAACCACCAAAAAAACATCAACAGCAAAAAAAAATATGAAGATGTTGTCAAGAAAGGGCTGGAGGAAAAGGATTATTGAGACTTGAATACTGAGACATTGTGAAGAAATTCAACATGTGAAAAATGTGAGTTATGGAAGGAGAATTGCAGAGCAAAGCCATATAGGTATATGTAGTCAGAACCACTGAAAAAAGGCTATTCCATGTGCTGAATGATATCTAGAATGTGTATCTAAATTCCAGTTTCTGGGTAGAGTTATGTGTCTGCTCAGAAATAGAAAAGTGGTTGGAATAGGTGTGTTAGAGTGTGTTTATTGACTAGGGATTGATGATTTCCCTTCAGCAGACAGG